GTAGCACCCAGATTTCGAGCATGCTTGCAGGATCTGGCAAGGAGTACCTATTCAGCGACTCATAAAGATAATGTCGACTGCTGTGGTGGCATGTACTTTTCCACTTGACTCTGCACGATGACAAATCACAAAAAGAGGAGGAGGGAGGAAGGAGGGAGAGACGATGAAGAAGACGAGGAAGAGGAGCCGCAACCAACGTTCTTTCTTGGGTTCGGATCCGCTCGTTGGGCATTGTTTGGGCACTGGGCCTCTCCTGACTGCGACAACTTATCCAAACGAGTCGCCGCACTTGCCCAGAGGTGACGCGGCGAATAAAGGGAATTGCAAGAATCCTGAAACGACTCGCAGCAACAAATCGAAGACAATGGTGGCCAACGACGACGGGTTGGGTGACAGTGCTGCTGACCTAGGAAAGCCGCCCCAACAACGAATCACACTTTGGAGGGCGAGCGCATACGAAAATGAACTGGGCGGCTCCCAACAACGCACGGCTGTAAGGCACAGCCTTCAGCCCAATTCGGGCCACACAAGCATCGCCAACTGGACGAGCTGCTGAAAGCATGCTCGACCTTCTGCACTGCGGGTGTGTGGCTGACTGCGCAAGTGGATCAAAACTCCCCCTGCTTAGTCAAACTCCCACATCCACTCTCCTCCTCATACTGCGCATCCTCCTCGAGAAGGCCAACTCGAGTCCCTGCCAGGGGGTTGAGCACGTTGAGGAACTCCTCCCAAGGGTCCATCTGGTTGAGGAACGGCATCCACAGGAACGAACCTTACGTTTCAACACGGTAGGCTCCGAATTCTCGGTGTGTGTACGCACGCACCTGTGCAGCAAGAATTTCCGACTAGCTGGCTGAATTAAACAAGCTCCGGATGAGAAAAAGGTATACGTACCGCTACCCCTCGATCGTGTTCTCCTTTTCGGGCCTCCTGGGATAAGTACCGACCCCGTGCAGCCAAGCTACTACCGTCAGGAACGCTACAAAAAGAACAGAACTCCTGTCTGGTCCCGTGAAAAATATGCTGCATCCTCGGGTGACCTTGACTGTCCAATCGCGGCCCTATCCGCGTCGAATCCATGTCGGACTCGTCGGATCCGTGTCGAATACGTGTCGAATCCGCGTCGAATCCACGCCAAATCCGCGTCGCGTCCGCATCGAGCCCGCTTCGGGCACAAGAAATGGCACCAATTTGGGGGACAGGCGAGGTCCCTCGAAGATCCAGCGTAAAGAACGCGCCTGGGTGCAAGAGGCGCGATAGAGGAACAATCAAATAACGACCTAAGGAACAGCGAACCCATTATGAACCCGAACTGTTTCTTATGCTAGCGCTTCTGAAAGCCAGCGAACAAAGAAGCGATACGTTGAATGCTGCAACTCAGCGTGGACCCCAAACAGTGCGACATTGCAGTGTGGAGGTGGAAGTTCTTGTGGTGTGAACTGCAAGTGAAAGGTACGAGGTGCAAGACATGTGGTACAAGCTGGGTTGTGCAAGCTATGCGGTGCAAGCTATGTGGTGTAAGCTATATGATATAGGCTATGTGGTGAAAGCTACGCCGTGTAAGCTCAGAACACGAGGCGCCCAGGGCAGCATACCCCCACGATTATCTGAAACCATGTTAGCTCTCTGAAGAAGCGATCCAGAAACCTATACGTTTGGTTAAATTGGAGCGTTGGTAGCTGGCGACCTTATTGGATCTCTCGATAAGGGAACCGTCAGCTTGATAACCAGACCGTGAGGCAGACCGATCGCTGCCCTATAGTGTGAACTAGGTCGCTTCTTTGACGAATAGCTCGCCAGACGTCTTGCTGATACACATATATATATAGATAGATAGACATGTATATCGACATACGTACAGATGTGCGGCAAATGCAACCCTACATCACATCCAAGCGCGGGGAGCCTCGGAAGGCGCGCATGAGGCAGCACGAGCGGCAACGCGGTGAAAAGCTCACCACCGAAGCGGGGGGCGCCCGCGAGGCGCCCAACGAGCGGCACGGGCGGCAATGCGACGACATCCCGCCATGCCCAACCAAGTTCTTAAGAAAGCCAAGTAAGAACCCCTGAGCGCAAGCAGTGCATAGGGAATTTTCTGATTCGAGGCTTTCGCGTCGACCTGGTGGTCCAGCACGGCCCCTGAGACTCCGACTACCGGGCGCTGCAGACTGCCTGAGGGCCCCCTCCCCAGCACTGCGCCTGGACCCCCACCCTGCCCCAAGCCTAAAAACGGTTTTCAACTGTATCTGGGTAACGGTCGTTCCCTTGACGGGGGGAGGGGGGCCAGGGCCCCGGGTACCGGTAACGATTGGGGCGGGTGGCGCACGTCGGGGCGGGGGTGCGCTGCGATCGCGCGCAAGCACCAACATGTGAGGGCGGGGGGGTCCAGACATCCCCCCCTCACACAACCGCTGCCGCAACCCAGAGGAGGAGGAACCTAGCCCAGGCAGCGACCGTCACGCGCCAGAGGATTGACAAACAGTGTCACGATTGGTTCTTTCCCGGGCAAGGGTCGTTAACCGGGGATGGGGGTCGGGAGGGAGGCGGCGGCATGCACCCGCCAGTGTGCGTCCGCGCCACTGGCGCACCAATCGCCTGCGTGCACCATAGTAGAGGGTGCCCAGGCCATCCACCCCAGCACGATCGTTACCGCTACCGGGGGGAAGAAGGGGCCCGGGTAACGAGCGTCACCCTGGAAGGGGGAGCAAAAAAAAAGGAAAAAGAACGCACACTAGAACGTTCAAAATCACGCTCCCCAGCGCGAGCTGCCGCTGGCTCCTGGCTATCTCGGCGCAGTCCTGCGAGGGAAAGGGAGAGTATGCGAGCAGCAAGACCAGAGACCGGAAGCTAGGGCAAGCGGGACGAGGCAGGGAACAGGAGGAGGAAGAAGGACGGGAGACGAGAAAGGAGAGGGGAGCAACCGCAAGCAGACAGGCTGGAACAGGGGCCGGGAGAAAAGGGCCACCCGCGACGGGGCCACGGACATTGCGGTGGCGACACCGACCAGGCGGCGCAGGCGGAGGGAGTGTTGGAGTGGGTGGCGGTTGTCGGGCTCGTCAGGGGAAGTCAATCGAGGAGGGCTCGTCGTCTGGTGGTCGCCAGAGTGGCACAAATCGTCGGGGTCGTGGGGGAGGGGTGGTCGTCCAGGGCGGACTGGGGCGAGCTGCCGCGTCGTTGCTTGGTCGGCAGGAGCCCCTACGAGTAGGCCTTCAGTTTAAAGTGTGACAAAGGAGAGAACTGCCAGGCCTAAGCGGCCCAACCCAACATATTTAAGGAGAGCTGACTCGACGAACGCAACCCCTCAGATTATTGATCGAATGTTTGGCTCATCCTTGCGAATATATTCGCATGTGAATATACACACACACGCACCTCGCTATTTCTCCGGGGGGGTTCTCCTGTGTCTTTCTCGTCGCATGGTCAAAAACACAAATGCTCGCCTCGGTGCCGCACGCACTGAATGGAGTGCGGGCAGGTTTTGCCGAAATGTCTGATACTGGTACTGGGGAGTCTTGCACATTCTCGCAAGGCACGTGCAAGACTGTTAGGGGCCCAGACTTCCGAGCGTTCAAGGGGCGCCCAGCGCGGCGTTGTGTGTTTGTGTAGTTGATCATTCTTGTTTCGTGTGCGCATGCTTGGAAACTACAGAAAGTGGGTTTTCGCCACCTGGATAGAGAACACGAGATGGACCTGGGAGTCCTCTGGTGCCAAAGTGGCCTGCAAAACCGCCAAGTGGCTGCCAAGAGGCCCTAAGAACGTCCAGAAAAAAAAACTGCATTAGGTTTCGGCCAGGGTACTTTTTATTTGTTTTAAAGATTTATTTGAAAATACCTTTAGGAACCCGCGGATTGATACTTCGCGTCGCCACACGTCTGGCAGTACATGCCGCTCACGCAATCACCCATCAGTACAGGCGGCAGAAGCACATGGGGGCGGACACGGCGACGGGCGACGACCGAGCGGGGTCTCGTGTTCATCCTCCTTCTCCGTGTCCGTCTCCTCCTCCCCCTCCTCCTCCTCCACCTCCTCCTCGCTTCCGCGCCGCACAGTGTCCAGAAGATCACTGTACAGCCTTGTGAGTTGAAAGGAGAAGCGCCCTTGCAGCTCGGGCACTGTCCTCAGACGCATTATGAAGCAACCACCCTGTAATGGGAAGCTTCGTCAGTATGTTGTAGATGTGAAAAAAACGATGACCGCGCGCTCCAGCAGCACGCTCTGTGGAAAGTCATCAGACGCCTCGCTGCAGAGGCCCAGGTTATTCAGAGTCCATTGCGGGGTGTAAAGCTGCGCATGCCACACAGCGCGCACTGCCTGCCAAAGAGGTGGGCAGCAAATGAAGTGCACAATAGCGTCAGAGGCGCCCTCGTCCTCGGACTGGCAGCAGCCAAAAATGCTGGGGCTGCAGACATCACTCGAGTGAAAGCGACGGCTCGTGGTCCGTCCTCCAGCCCACGTCTTGATAAGTGCCGATTGAGCAACGGGCGAGAAGCTCTTGCTCAGGAGCTCTTCGAGTGGCTCCCATTCGATCTGTGAGAAGGAAAAAGACTCGGTGGGTTTCGCCCCGGGGTTGAGGCCAGAGTGCAAAGTGACAGGCAGGCGGTCAGGGGGGGAGAGGAGGCGCAGAGGGAGTGAATAAACTTCTGCATGCGCAAGCGAGCCGTAGAAGATTCGGCCAAAAGACGGGCCTTCTCCACCTTCACCTCACTCATCGCAGCGGCGCAGGCCACTGCCAGCGGGCGGTTCGCGTCGTTGGGGGATCCCTGCGATGCTCCCTCGAGGGTGTACGTGATCGGCTTCGACTTCCAGTGGAGGAGGGCGAACAGGCCGAGCGAGCGGGCGTGGAACGAGAGGCTGAACTCCTCTGCGTCGCGCAGATATCGAGCCCAGAACTGCCAATTTAGGGCAGAGACAGTTGCACTGCGCATCGGTGCCGACCGGTTGCTGTGCTCGTGGGAGACCGCCTTCAGCGAAGTCCAGCGCCCCCATGCCAGGCTTGACATCTCGAGGAAGAGCTTGTGAAGGTAGGTGCCAGACGCGATGTAGTGCCCAGCTCTCTTTCTTCTTCATCTTCTGCGGCCGCGCTATGAGCTGGCTGAGGGATGAGGTCTTGCTATCCGCTCGCTGGTTGTAGAGCATCAGTGCAGTGCTGGTCGGGGCCCCGATGTGGGCGAGCTTGGTAGTATAGCGCTGCCAGCCGAGAATTACCATCACCCTGCTGTATCCCTCAACAGCACTGGGACCCATTAGCACTCCCAGGTATTCCGCCCTGTCATTGAACATCATGTCACTCCAACGTGTTACCAGCTCGACGATCTGGGCACGGATCCTGTCCTCAACCGCGGGGCCGGCTGCCTCCGCCAGGAGGATGATCTTACCCTTCACCGACTTCGCCGTTTTCAGCACCAGGTGCGCCACATACTCCGCCGCGCAGCGTAGAACTTCCTGCACGCAGGGCAGGGCAATTTTGATGAGGGGCGGACGCCGCCCAAGACGTCAACGCAGACCCCGATGACCGCGCCCTTGAGGTGCTCCGTCCGCGAGTGCAAGGCCCAGATCAGCGGGCACAAGCCCACCGTCCGCAGAGTGCCCGACCAGGAGCACCCCAGAAGACAGCCCGAGGCGAGGGCACAGAAGCGCTCAGTGGCGCCCGCATGGTTGGTGAAGGCGACAGGCAGGAGGTAGTTCGCCTGTAGCATGTTGCGGATGCCCTCGGGGAGGTCCGCTTTCTCCAATGCCCTGTTGGGCCTTGTTCTGCACGCCGAGGGGAGCGTGCCACCGAAATCGCATAGGACCATCAGCGGGTCTTCGTTCTTCAAGTCATCTTGCATGGCGACAATGCGGAACTGCGCGTCCGTAGCCACCACCTGTTCGATGAAGCAATGCTTCGGAAGGAGGCCCTTTCTGCGCCCCGTGGGCCCCTTTCGCAGCGATAGGCTTCGTCGTCTCTTTGCCCATGGCAGCGACGTTCTTGCAGTCCGTGTTCTTCAGCGAGAGGGGCCTTGTGGCCTCGGCACTTCTGGCGGATTCCATCATCAGGTTCCGACTCCTTCGGAGCGCAAATCATGGGCGAGTCGTCGAAGACCAACGGTGGAGGATAACCTTTCATCGTCTCGATCGCCACCCCACTGAGGAGCGGCGGCGCGGGGGGGATGCGCTTCCAGGCTGTGCGCGGTATCCCATCATGGCCAGGTGCCGAGTTGTTGAGCCTGCAAGTGAGGTTCAGCTTTTTGTCCAGCGACGGGGTGTCCATCTGGGCGCAGTCGTAGGGGATGATGTGCTTGTCCAGGTAGCGCCTGACATGCTTGGCGTGGCCCGGCATCGCCTGAGCTACAGGAGGCCATTGGCGTCGAGGCTCGGCAATCATGTCCTCAATCCGCGTGCGCTGCTGCGACTGCTCGGCGTAGTGCGACGGTAACTCGGGGTCCACCTCCACCATGTCACCCAAAGCTTGTTCCCAAGGCAGTTGGCGTTCTGGGTGGTGATTTCGACGGCGAGGGAGGCCTTAGTTGACCAGCGGAGCTGTCAGCTCTGGCTTGGCCGCGTCCATGACGTTGAGGTCATCCACGACGAACGCCGTGATCCTTTCTGGTTGTTGTACAACAGTGCTGAGCTCGGCACGAGTTTGGCCCTTTGTGGGTTGGCCCAGGTCTGCAGGAATCTGCAGGTTGTGGATACTGTAGGTCACGAACAAGCTGTGGAGCGTGCCCACTGCACTGTGGATCTCATGGTTAAGGGCCGCATCAGCGTCATGGACCTCCTGCAGGACGATCACGGCCGTGGAGTTCACCATCTGCGTCACGAGCGCGGTCTCGTTCTTCCTCTCGAGGGGGGCTCTGCCCAACGGCGCTCTCGGGGTCCACGTCGAAACGGAAATCGGCTTCGGCGCGTTTGCGCCCCGCCAAGGGGCGAGGGGCCAGTCATATCTGCCACTGTACGTTATGTGCGCCGAGGGGGGTCTGGAATAATTGCTCGAACTGCATGCGGATCTCCTCTCGATTGATGCCGTGCTGAAGGCAGCCACTGCAATTGAAGAGCAGACGGGTGGGCTCGCCCTCTGTGGCGCCGACCACGATGGAGAGGACTGGCATGTCATTGCAGTACATGATGCCCTGCTGCCGGTCACTTCGCCACCGCTTTGCGGCATCTTGCGCTTTGCAGAACTGGGAAAGCTTCTTGGTCTGGAACTCCCTTCGTGCTGTTTTCCCCGAGCGATCCAGGCCGAGGAAGAGTCTTGTTGACTGTCCATGGATACTTTGAACTTCTGTGTTGACCCAATCACCGTCGGGCCCCTGGAGCTTGCTGTAGAATGCTCTGACCTTCCGCGCGGATGCATTGGCATCCCCGCTGAACTGCATGATGAAGCGTCTCGCTGGGCTCTTCCCAACCACCTCCCAGCCGGCTTCGCTGAGAGCACACCTGTCCATGATCGGATTGATGCTATGCTTGAGCTGGTCCGTAGTGTAGTTCTCCGGCGCGGCGCCAACGATGGTGCTGGCGTCTGCCGCCCTGTCCCACTCGTTGAGGTTCTCGTAGTCTTTGATGGGGATCTGTGCTTCTTGCATAAATAGCTTCTGTCGCATTTCAGCGACCTGGGCACGTAACCCTCGTTGATATGCTTCCAACTTGGTCGAGGCGGCCTGAAGTGATTGGATGCGCCCATTGAACTGTTCGTTTTGCTGTTGCTGCTGACCAACAACCGCGCCCAGCGGTCCTCTGAGCTGCGTGGCGAACTCTGCGGTGGCTTCTTGCTTGACTGTGGCCAGCCTCGCATCGAGCTGCGCCGTGAGGAAATCCTGCGATGCCTTGATAGCGGCGTTGACTGCGTCCATGGGGTCGACGAGCTCGGAGGAGGTGGAAGCGTTGGAGGCGCCAGCACGGGGTCTCTTGGCCCCTTCAGCAGCAGCGCGTGAGAGGGCGGCCGTATCCCTCCAGCGGTCGTGTTGATGGATTGCATCTGGTTGACGGTCACCTGCTCGCTGATGAGGTCCTTCGCTCGCTTCAGCACCAGAGGGTTGGAGAGGAGCAGCAGACCGACCAGCAGCAGCAGCTCCACGATGAGCCGCCATTCGCGGTGCTGACTGGGTGCCTGGGGCTGACCAGGACTTTGAATATGGATGCCAGGGGCGGACCTGGACTTCTGTATACGGATGCCAGGGGCGAACCTGGGCTTGGAGGGATTGCCAGGGGCGGACCTGGACTTGGAGACAGCAGGTACTCTGGGTGGGAGCCTACCCCGCGGAGGCAGTTCTGGAGGGTCCGCCATTTGGCCTTGAGCCAAAATGGCTACGGACATATATATATATATAAACATGTACCAAGGAAACAAAAGGTGCTGACTGCAGTCGCGCGGGTAGCTGGGTTGAGCCCTGTCGTGGACCCCAGCTCCAGGCACTGCTTGCACCAGGAGGCAGAGGACAGACTGTTTAGGTTCTAGCAAGCTCGTCGTCCAACTCTGCGGGAGGCTAGCGCGCTTCTTCACGCGGCCCTCGTAGGTCGAGTCGTGACCCTCGTAACTGAGCTGGTGGCCCTCGAAGCTGAACTGGTGGGCCTCGCAGCTCTGCTCGTAGCCCTTGCGGTTCAACCCGTCGTCCAACTGGCTCTGTGAGAGACTGTCGAAGTTCCGTGTGGCCCTCGTACCTCAGGATGCAGCCCCCATAGTTCAGCTGGTGGCCCTCGTAGCTGAGCTGGTGGGTCTCGTAGCTCTGCTCGTGACCCTTGCGGTTCAACTCGTCGTCCAGTCAGCTCTGCGGGAGGCTGTCGCAGTTCTGCTTGTGGCCCTCGTAGCTCAGCAGGTAGCCCTCGTAGCTCAGCAGGTGCTCCTCGTAGCTGAGCTGGTGGCTCTCGAAGCTCTACTCGTGGCCCTTGCAGTTCAGCTCGTCGCCCTGGTCGCTCTGCGGGAGGCTCTCGCAGTTCTGCTCGTGGCCCGCGTAGCTCAGGCTGTGGCCCACTCAGCTCGTCCACTGCGCGTGGCCCCCGTAGCTCACTCGGCGCGTGGTCCTGGTAGCTCTGCCCGCGGCCCTCGCCCGGCGGCCCTCGTAGATCTGCTGGTAGCTTTCGTAATCCAGCAGGTGGCTATCGTAGCTCCGCTGATGGCCCTGGTAGCCAGTGGGTGTGGCCGTCCGATGGCACGGCGCCTGGCGAGGTACGCCTCGCGTGCCGCCCCAACCGTCGCGAACACGTCGGGCTTCTCCGTCTCGCACTCTGCCTTCATGCCGTGCTCCTCGTAGTCCTCCTTGTTGGGCCTCCGTAGTCTTATCCTCGTCAGCCTCCTCAACATCCCCGTCGCCCAAGTCGGTGCCATCAACTGCCAGCTCGTAGTGCTGCGTCCTCAAGTTGCCACGAACAAAACATGCAAATAAGCTGACAGAGATGGGACCAGCGAAGGCCAGTCCCGCCCTTCCTCGCCTGCTTCTTGCCGTCGAAGCTCTGCTGGTGGCCGGCGTAACCGAGCTGGGGGCTCTCGAAGCTCTGCTGGTGGCCCCGGAAGATCTGCAAGCAGGCCTCAAATCCGTGCTTCTTGCCGTCGTAGCTCTGCCTCATGCCGCGGTCGCTCTGCTGGTAGTCCTGGTAGCTGTCCAGCTGTTTCCTGTCGTCGTAGCTGCGCCGGTGGCCCTGGAAGCTGTTCTGGTAATTATCGAAACTCGGTTTCTTGCCGCAGCTGTGCTAATGGCCGCTGGAGGCCCCTGTGTTCCAAGCTGGCGTCTCCGTGCTGCCAGTTACGCAACTCCTCGTCGCATGCAACCTGGATGCCCTGCACGTCGTCCGCCTGCGTTCCGTGCGGTTCCTCCTCGCCCTCCTTCCTGCCCTCCTCGGCCTTATAGCCAACGTAGAACATTGCGATGGGCCCGTCCAGGTTGAGGCCAGCCCCCCTCGTGACACGCGCGCGGCCGGGCGCGGCGCCAGGGGCCAGTGCGGGGATAGACTTCCTCCTCCTCCTCATCCTCCTCCTTTCCCTTCCTTCCTTCATTCCTTCATTCATCCTCCTCCTCCTCATCCTCCTCCTCCTCTTTCTCCTCCCCCTTGTCCTCCTCATCATCATCATCATAATCAGCATAATCATAATAAGCAATATCATCCTGATCATCATCGTCATTATCAGCATCATCATCAGTATCATCATCAGCAGCAGCATCATCATAATCATCATCAGCATCAGCATCATCATCATTATCAGTATCATCATCAGCAGCAGCATCATCATCAGAATCAGCATTATAATCATAATCATCATAATCAGCAGCAGCAGCAGAAGCAGAAGCAGCAGCAGCATCACCATCACCATCATCACCATCATCACCATCATCATCAGCATCACCATCCCTCCTTTCCTCCTCCACGGTGATCTGCCTCCTCCCCGGCCTCACGGCGCGCTGCACGAGAGAGCGCGCCGTCCGCCCGCCATGGCAAGATCGCGGATCGGCCCTCGGCTAGGGCGGCGTCTGTTCAGGAAGAAGACGAGGAACATGAGGCAGCCCTCCGCGACACCCCCCCACACCCCTGCACCTGCAAGAAGACGCCCTCCTCCTCCCCCCTCTTCCTCCCGCTCCCTACCGCCCGCATCCCCCCTTCCGCATTCTCTTCATCGTCCTCCTACTTCCTCCTCCTTCCCTCCTCCCTCCCTCCTCCCTCCCTCCTCCCTCCTCCCTCCCTCGGGGTGGCGGCGCTCTCGGCGGGGAAGTCTCAGACTCGCGCACCGTTGGCTGAGTTCTATCGTCCAGTTGGTAGTCCCTCCTCCCTCCCTCCTGCTCCCTATCCCCTGCCTCCCTCCGCCCTTCATCCCCCTTTCCGAGGGCATGCCATAGGGCCGGCGTGGCGCCGCGGGCAGTCTTCTTCGAGGCACGAGCCCGCCCTGGCGGAGCCACACGCCCCTGAGGTGCGAGGTACCGCCCCCCCCTTCCCCTCCCCGTGCCTCCTCGCCTCGTCCTCCCGCCCGTTCCCTTTCGTCGCCCCTCCGTGCCTTCCCCCGCCCTCTCCTCGGGGCGGGGGTCGGGGGAAGACTTCGTGCTCGAAACGCTGCCTGTGACTTGTCTCATAGAAGCGGGCTTCGCATCCGGAAGTGGTGCTCAGCCCTCCAGTGGGCTCGGGGCGCCGCTTGGGGGGAGAGGCTGACTGCCAGCAGTTCGCCTTCCCTGCGTCCAGAAGAACGATGGCGAACGGAGACGCCCCCGATCGAGCCTTGCCAAACCGGGCTCATCCGCCCCCCCCCGCCTCAATATCTCCGTCCTCCTGAACAACCCACCGCCGCTCCCCCCCTCCCCTCTTTGCAGTCGGCCTCCTCATTCCTTCCTCCTCCTTCCTTTCTCCTCGTCCCCTCTTCCTCTTCCTCCTCCCCCTCCTCCTCCTCTTCCTCCTCCCCCTCCTCCTCCTCCTCCTCCTCCTCCTCCTCCTCCCTCATCGTCCAACTCTCCTCCTCTCCTCCTCCTCCTCCTCCTCTCCTCCTCTCCCTCCTCATCCTCTCATCCTCCTCCTTTCCTCCTCCTCCTCTGCCCCTCCTCCCTCCTCCTTCCTCCTCCTCCTCCTCCTCTCCTCATCTCCTCTCCTCTCCTCATCCTCCATCATATCATCATCATCATCATCATCATCCTGCTCCCCCTCCTCCTCCACCCCTCCTCCCCTCCTCCTCACCATCAACAACATCCTCGTTTCTGGAACCTTATGCCTCCAGCGTTTCCGTCTTCTCCCTGCCGGACCCTCATGTCTCCTCCGCATCCTCAATCTTCCTCCCTCTCCTCCTCCTCCTCCTCCTCCTCCTCCACCCCCTCCTCCTCCTTCTCCTGCTCCCTCCCTTCCTCCTGCTCGCTCCTGAGCCCTCATGCCTGAATGGCCTCCCCCTCCTCCTCCGCCTTCTTGTCGTCGTGCCGATCCTGCCGTGCAGGGAGGCGGGCCCCGTCCCCTCCCAGAGCGGCGCTTGCAAGAAGTGCGTGCTCGGCCCCGCGGCGACCACCAGGAAGTCGTTTCTCAGGATCTTGGCGTTGTCGCGGTTGCTCGGCGGGCGCCTCGGGCGAATCCCCGACGGAGGCGCCCGCCCTGTCCCGCTCCTGTCCCCTCCCGTGTCCTCGCTCCGCGGATTGCGACAACGTGCCGATGTGGGGCACGCCCCCCGCGCGCAGCCATGCGCGCAGGCCACACCCAGGTGCCAGCAGCACGCCCGTCCTGGATGCTCCTCCTCACCATGATCGTATTCCTCCTCCTCCTCCTCCTCCTCCTCCTCCTCATCCTCCTCATCATCATCATCATCATCATCATCATCATCATCATCATCATCATCATCATCATCATCATCATCATCCTCATCACCCTTATCATCACAGCCGCCATCACCGTCATCTGAATCATCAGCAGTAGCAGCATCTCCGCCGCACTCAACATCACCTCCAACATCAGAATCGGCATCATCCACGTTGCCAGCATAATCATTATCCACGTCAACATCATAATATTCAGCATCGGGTTCGCCTTCATCATCTCCATCGTCTTAACAGTCACCAACATCGTCATGGCAACCGTCACCATCATCAAATCCTCCCAGCATCAAGTCCACCGTTAGCATCAACAGCATCGGCGTCATCAGGAGTATACTGATAAGCACCATCATGACAATCATCAGCATCATCAAGACCACCACCACCACCATCATCATCATCAACAACAGCATCACCAACACCCTCACCATCCTCAGCATCATCAAGATCAACGCCATGACCACCATCACCATTACCACCACCGCAACCACTATCACCATAACCATCACCATCACCATCACCAGCATCGCCCTCATCGCCACCACCACCAGCAATACCCTCCTTCTCCTCCTCCTCCTCCTCCTCATCATCATCATGAACATCATCATGATCATCATCAGTATCATCATCAGCAGCATCAGCATCACCATCATCATAGTCATTATCAACAACATCATCGTCATCGTCATCCTCCTCCTCATCACCATCATCCTCATCAGCAGCATCGTCAACAGAACCAGCATCATCATCTTCATGATCAGCATCGGAATCATCATCATCATCATCATCATCATCATCACCATCATCACCATCATCATCATCATCATCATCATCATCATCATCATCATCATCATCATCATCATCATCATCATCGTCGTCGTCATCACCATCAGCATCATCACAAGCACAATCATCTCCCTTCCTATCCGCCACCTTGCTTCTCAGACAGGGTGAGGTGCGGCAGGATGCCAGGTGCTGCCTGGCACTCCGTCGCGAACACTGGCTCTTTCGCCCGAGGCTTCCCGGGCGGGCCTCCTAGGCTTCCAGGCCTCCACGAGAGGGCCACCAAGGCCGCCAAGACGGCCCAACATCGACTCAAGACGCGCCCGAAAGCCCACAGGAGAGGGCCAAAAGGTCCCGACCTCCAAGACGCTGTCCACGAGGGCCTCGAGTGGCGAGAAACATTGGTTTCCCATGTGCGTTTCATTCATGCGTTTCGCTATCCTCGCTCTTGGGTCAAACATCGGTTCACGCGCGGCCTGCGGGGGTTAGACAGCGCAGGACGGCCCAAATGACAGAGCCTCAAAGTGGCACAAGACGACCTGAGACAACGAATCCATGTCGGATTCACGCTGGACTTACGTCGTACTTACGTCAGAGTATCGGGCGAACGAAGCGAGCGGAGCGAAGGAACGGGTGTCTCGGACGCACCTTCCGTCTTCGAGCAGTCTGGCGTCGCTGCCCGCGCAGGCGGGGGCCAGAACGCGGGGTCGGACCCAGTTCGACGTAGCCCACGCCCTGACGCGAAGCCACGACCTGCCTCGCCCGTGCTGACGGCGCTGGTAGACACACTCTTGACGTCGGCTTGAGTTTTGAGCTCCACTGGCTACGGGCACCTCTGGGGCCGCGGACTGGAAAAGTCAGGTCGTCGGATGACTGGGAAAGGGAGGTCCCGAGCGATGGAAAACGAGAGGGCCCCTACTACCGAAGAACGCCCCAAAACCGTCCCAGCAGACGGCTCAGAGAGTTCCAAGACTGCCCTATCGGGCCCCGAGACCCGAGACGGCCCAAGGGGGCCCCAAGACAGCCCAAGATGATCCCAAGACCGCGCCACAGGAGCCCAAGACAGCGCCAAGACTGCCAAAGTATGCCCCATAAGAGCTGCTCAAGACGCGGGGACGAGAGATGCCACATGTGACGGCCTCATGGGCGTTGCTCGAAGGGATCACGCCTGCGCCGTCCTTCCCTCTTGCCCGGTTCTCATTCCGCTGTTTTTGCGTCCCCCTCTCTCTCTATTTATGTTTCCTCTCTCTCTCTCTGTCTCTATCTCTCTCCCTTCCCCTCCACTCGCTCTCTCTCTCTCTCTCTCTCCTTCTCCTTCTCTCTCTATCTCTCTCTCTCTCTCTCTTTCCATATCTGTTCTCTCTCTCTCTGTCTCTATCTCTCTCCTTCCCCCCCCACTCGCTCTCTCTCTCTCTCTCTCTCTCTCTCTCTCTCCCTCTAATGATATCATTGCCTCGCTCTTCATCTCTCCCTCTCTCTGGCTATATATATATATAAATGCATTTCTATATATATATATATATATATACATATATATATATATATGTGTACGTGTTCGTATCTCACTCTGTCCGTCTATCTTTCTCTCTGTCAAGAGTTCAAGTGCCCACTGATTGAAACTACCAATCCACATGAGGTGTGGAGAGGTGTGCTTCGTAGTCATCCTCCTCCTACTCCGTCTCCCTCCCTCTGCTTCTCCCTCCTCCTCCTCATCTGATATCCTCTCGCCCTACCTCCTCCTCCTCCTCCTCCTCCTCCTCCTCCTCCTCCTCCTCCTCCTCCTCCTCTCCTCCTCCTCCTCCTCCCCCCTTTCGAGCCTTTCGAGCGCAGCCCAATGGTCTCCGCGAGACCGTGGCCGTGGCCTCCTCCTCCCTCCTCCTCCTCCTCCTCCTCCTCCACCTCCTCCTCCTACATCTCCTCCTCCTCCTCCTCCTCTTCAACCAGAGGCCGTCGCATAACCCAATCGCTCAGAGGGTGAGGGAACAGTGCTCGCCGACTAGATTGGAGGCAGCCCGGAGGTAAGTCCAGGCCGGCCTCGTCAGGCCTGCAGGGTCGCCCGGGGCGGCCCCAACACCCTCAAATCGGGTGGACCTTGAAGGGAGGACCACAAACGGGGGGGGGGGCGATCGAGGGCTGCAGGACCGCGTCCCAAAAGGGGCCTCAAAGGGCCCCGAACGTGCAACCCCGCGTCGAAAGGGTGCCAGGAAGGTGCGCCCGCCTTTAGCCCCCGCTTGTGTCCCCAAGTCGCCCAACTTCGCGCATCGCTCCCCGCGTTGCACGACGAGCGGTCATCTGCGCGCCATCCAGCCGCCGCATTGACAAGACCAGCTGTACTGCCCTGACCGCGTCGCGCGAGAGGTGATTATCCTGGCGCCCCTGGGGGTGAGCTAGACTTCCTCCTCGTTGCCGTCCGCCCGACCAACCACCCAGGGCGCGGAGCGCCCCACTGGGTGCTAAAAACACATCTGGGGGGCCCGCTTGGAGGCCGACCTGGACGACCTCTGGGGGACTGCCTGCTCAGGAGGCCTTCCAAGCGGGGTCGAAGGATCGCGCTGCATCGCCGATGCATCTGAGGTGCATCGGCGACGTCCGCGATGCATCGTCGCCGTCGGTGTTGATGGGCCTGTTTTCCACCACCACCACCATAAGTTGGAGGGGGGAAGGAGGTGGAGGATGAGGAGAAGGAGGAGGAGGAAGAGGAGGAGGAGGAGGAGGAGGAGGAGGAGGAGGACCCCATGCCCCTCCTACTTGTGGTGGTGATGGTGGTGGAAAATGGGCCCATCAGGTGTGGAGAACATCGGGCCCCACATCGAGCCGCATCGCCGATGCGTCGGCGCTGCCTCGAGATCCTCCGACCCCATCCGCTCGGATCCCGCGGGGGGGGGGGGGGGGGGGCCGGGCCTTGCCGTGCCCCCCTGAGCCATCCGCCCTCCCTGCACGGTTTCCCCCGGGCCGTGGGCGACCCGATGAGGAGGAGGAGGAGGAGGAGGAGGAGGAGGAGAGGAGGAGGAGGAGGAGGAGGAGGAGGGGAGGGTGGAGGAGGGGGAGGAGGAGATGGAGGAGGAAATGGAGGAGGAGGAGGAGGAGGAGGGAGGAGGAGAGGAGAAGGAGGAGGAGGAGGAGGAGGGAGGAGAGGAGGAGGTGGAGGAGGAGGAGGAGGAGGAGAGAAGGTGGAGGAGGGGGAGGAGGAGATGGAGGAGGAAGAGGACGAGGAGGAGGAGGAGGAGGAGGAGGAGGAGGAGGACGTCCGTAGCCATTTTGGCTCAAGCCTGCCTGGGCGCGTGGCAGGAGGAGCGCGCCGTGCCTCTCCCTGTAGAGCCCTGTCATCTCGGCAGGCACAGAGAGCGACTCAGTCTCTTTCCCCCTGCGCGCGCGCGGATCATGGCTACGGGGGGCGGCCGCACCAGCAGCTGGCTGCCCGGACCACTCCGTGCCGACAAGGCGGCCGCCCCACTCCGTGCCGACAAGGCGGCCGCCGCAGGGCCGTCTGCGGCTCGGCGCGCGGCCCGAGCGCGTGCCCGTCTGACCTGCGAGGCGGCCCTCCGCAGGGCCCTCGGCAGCAACGACCACGCGCCGGGGTCCTGGCGGGACCGCGAGGACGCCTCGCGACCAGCGCTCCAGGCCCTTGCATCTCGCAGAAGGGTGCCAGGCGCCGCGCGTCGGAGGCGCAACGCGGCATGGCACGCCGCCGACGCCCCGGAGGGAGGCTTCACGCACGCCACCCAGGCTGCGCTTGCCAAGGCGGCGGCGGGCCCCCGCCTCGGACGGCCGGGCCTCCCTGGGGCCAACTACAAGTACATCGTCGGGCTGCTGGACCGCCTCGCCGCCGACACCTCTGAGTGGAGCCGCCGCCGAGGCCGCCCATCACGGCGCGCGGAGCGCGCCTGGCGTCGCCTACCCGACGGACGCCAACCTCTCCCAGGTGGCGGAGCGGGCGCTCCGCGCGGCCGTCGCGCGCCGGAGCCGGGACTACGAGGACGACGGCTACGACGGCTACAACCACGGCGACCCCGACGGCTACGACCACGGGGACCCAGACCAGTCCGAGGATGCGGAGGAGTCGCCCTTCGTGGAGGCGTTCGGGATGACGGAGGACGGCTACCACGACAACGGCGGCTACGATTCCACCGACGAGCGCGGCTACGTCGGCAACACCGACCTCCGCTCCTACAACGGCTGGCGGCCGAGCCTCCGCCCCCCGCCCAGCAAGGAGGAGATGGAGAGCGAAATGCGGAGAGCACGATCGGCCGCTCCCCCTCTTCTTCGTGATGCTCCGAGCGGCTCTGCTGCCACGGGCACCGCCACCGAGAAGATAGAGGACGATTCCGACGCGGACCCAGATGACCACGAGAGCTTCCACGGCTACGACTACGGCGGCTACGACGGCTACGACAGCAAGACCCACCAGGCGCTGCACGGCACGAACAGGGAGCTTGGTGGGGAGAACGCGGTTGACGGCCCAGCCGACGACGACT